CGCTAAATACTGCACCTCTAGCTTTGCGTGCTTCGGACAGTTTGATGTCGGTCTTGGAAGCCTCCTCCCGGCCACTCGACGCGGTCTTCATCTGCAATTCGCGGCTCGCGTTGCCATGAAGCCAGCGTCGTTGTCCGGGGAGGATGCGCGGGCGGACTGCAATAAGCTCCAATTTACGATCTGGAAATGGGAACAGACCATGACCCATTAAAAACGAATACTCTTCTATATACATATTACAATATATATATATATATATATATATATATATATATATATATATATATATATACATATCTGTGTGTGTGTGTTTGCGTCCATATATATGTATACATATATATATATATAGTATAATATATATAGTTATATATATATATATTATATATATATATATATATATATATATATAATATATATATATATATGATGTATGTATGTATGTATGCATGTACATATATATATATACATATAATATATATTATATATATATATATATTATATATATATATAGTATATATATACATATAATAATATATATATTACATATATATATATATATATATATATATATATATATATATATATAATATATATATAGCATATATGTATATATATACATACATATATATATATATATTATATTAATACATATTATATACATATATATATATATATTATATATATAATATATATATATATGTATATATATATATATTATATATATATATGTGGTGTGTGTTGTGTTGTGTGTGTGTGTGTATGTGTGTGTGTGTGTGTGTATAATATAATGTATATATAGTTATATCTATTTATATATAATATGTATACATATCAATATATATTACATATCTACACACACCACACACACACACACACACACACACACACACAACACACCATATATATTATATAAATTATTATATATATATTATATATATATATATACATATATATATACATATATAATATATACATACATATATTATATTATATATATATATATATATTATAACACACACATTACATGTTGTATATATACATACATATTTATATATATGTATAATATATATATATAGTATAAATATATATAATATATATAGTATATGTGTGTTAGTGTGTTGTGTGTGGTGTGTGTGTGTGTCATTGTGTATGTGTGTGTGAGTGTAAATGCGTGAAGTCTGTGTGATGGGCAGACAGACAGACAGACAACAATAGCATGACCAGACAGACAGAGAGGGATGATGGAAAGAGGAAGAGAGAGAAGAGAGAGCATAAACTATATGGTAAATATATGTATATACATAATTGAATATAGCTATATATACAATATGTAACAGAATGCATTATCTATAACACACCACACCACCCACACACACAGCACAACACACACACACACACAACACACAAACAATTAATAGAAATATAATTTATTTATTATTTTTTATATTTAAACACCAATAATATTTTATTTTTTTAAATATGTATATAAATTTAATTACAATATATATATCATATATATATATACATAAATATAGGATATATATATAGTATATATATAATAATAATAAAAGATGCAGTATACGACAAAACAATAAGATGGTTTGTATAGTAAGTACAATACCATATATAAGTATAATATATGTATATATATATATATATATATATAAATATATATAATGTGTACGACAAACTAGGACGAAATCACAACTCAGAGACAAAAGGGCAGCTGAAGGAGTAAGGGTAAATAGAAAGTATAGATTGGTGTGTAGTGTAGCCAGAATAACAGACTTGATAGATAGAGATAGTATTAATAAACAAATAGATTAAAAAAAAGTGTTTGTGATAGAGAATAAGATGTGTGCCAATGCTGTGTGTGTGTGTGAGTGATGATATAAATAAAGATAATACATACACACACACACACACACATACACACACCACACACACAAACACACACAACAAACACAACAAAACACAACACAAACACAAATATTATATATAATATATTATAAACTATATGAGTATAGAACATACATGTATTACCATATATTAATGTATAGTGATATACTATACATTCATACATTAATATCATATTAGATAAATTTATAATTTAATTATATATACTATATATGGAGTAATGTGTTGTGTGTGTTGTGTGACAGTGTGTGAATCAATAACAAAAAAGAATTTGCGATTGTGTGATGTGTGATGTGTGTGTGTAATGTGTGTGAGAGAGAGAAGAGAAGAGAGAGAAGAGAGAGAGAGAGAGATAGATGAGAGAGAGAAGAGGATAACGATGAGCGAGAGGAGAGGTAGAGAGAGAGAGAGAGGAGAAAGACCCTAGGAAGACGAGAGGAGAGAGGAGAGAGAGAGAAGAAAGAGAGAGAGATGATGAGAGAAACGAGAAGAAGGAGAGAGAAAAGAGAGTAAGAGAGAGAAGAGGATGAAGAGAGATTGTTTTATATACAACCAAAGCGCACAAAACATATAGATAGATAGATAGAGAGAGTAGACTGATAGATGTGTGCGTATATATATATATATATATAAAATATATATATAAATATATATATATATATAATTATATATATATTATATATATATTGCATGTTTAGTGTAGTTGTGTAATATATGTGTGTGTGTGTGTGGTGCATTTATGTATGTGTGCAGTAGTATAGTATGTATATATATTATATATATATATATATATATATATATATATATATTATGTGTGTTGTGTGTGTGTGTGTGTGTGTGGGTGGTGTGTGTTGGTGTGGGTGTGTGTGTATGCATGGTGAATGTGTTGTGTGTATATATATCTGTGTAGATTGTGATGATTTTATGTGATGACTTATTTAAGTAATAATAATAAGAGTATAGAGTATATTAGGCATATAAACATATATTATATAATTGAATATAGATAATATATATAGCTAAGAGATAGTAATAGTATACAACTATACATAGTTACATATAATTATATACGCATCACACAGACACACACAACACACACTACACCAACCACACAACACACACACAAACACCACGACAACAAAACACCATTACACACACACAAACTAAGTATTAACTACTATATATATAAATAATATAAAAGTTATTATATATATAGAAATAATGTACTATCATAACATATATAATTTATACAAAATATACATATATCAACACAGGACCATTAGCACACAGCAAACAACCACACACAGCACTAAATACCACACACACACACACACACACACAAACACACACACACACCACACACAATATATAAATAAAGATATAACTCATTCAATAGTAAATACTAATATATATATAATCTATATATACTATTAAATATAACAAATCACATAACACACACTTAAGTACGAATATACATAAAAAGTGATTGTATAATATAAGATATATGTGTGTGTCTGTGTGTATGTGTTGGTGTGGCGTACGAAAGTGATTAGGAAGCGGACGTCAATTCACATAACGACAAACGCATATACAAACACAAGCAACACAGGAGACACAATATACCACTATATATATTAATAAATATACGAACAAAATATAAGAAGTATCATATGGATATACATATATACTATGCAACGGAGACAAACGAAGAAACATAAACAAAAGCAGATATACTCTCCTATAAAATAGTATTGAGTATATGTATTATATATGATAATTTCATTGTACGCTCGATAGTTATATATACATACTCTTCGAAAAAAAAAACCAAATACCTACAGACTCCTATCATCCAGTACTCCCACGATATATATATATACTGACTTACGAAAGGTGTAACACTCACATGACATACCACCACACATCCATATGCACCACAAGCACACACATCAGTAGCACACACACTCCAACACATCCGCAACGGGCCATAATTAGTAGTATATATATTATAGTATATAGGCTAGTTATTATAGAGCTATTTATACTGTATAGTATGATGTGTGTGTGTGTGTGTTGTTGTGTGCTGTGTGATTTGTGTGTGTGTGTGTGTGTGTGTGTGTTATGGTCTGTGTATGGTATAATATATAGTATATATATATATATTATTATATTCTATATATATATATATATATATGTAATGTGGATAAATATATGTGTGTGTGTGTGTGGTGTGTGTGTGTGTGTGTGTGTGTGTGTGTGTGTAAAATGGGAGGAGAGAGAGACAGACAGACAGAGAAAGACGGAGAGGAGAGAGAGAGGGGGAGACAGACAGACAGACGGAGACAGACAGACAGACAGACAGATAGAGAGAGAAAGAGAGAGACACACACAGAGAGAGAGAGAGAGGAGAGAGAGAGAGAGAGAGAGAGAGAGAGAGAGAGAGAGAGAGAGAGAGAGAGACAGACAGACAGACAGACAGACAGACAGACACACACACACACACACACACACACACACACACACACACACACACACACGCACGCACGCACGCACGCACGCACATACACACGCACACACACACACACACACACACACACACACACACACACACACACACACACCACACACACACACACACACACACACACACACACACACACGCACACACACACACACACACACACCACACACACACACACAGCACACACACACAGAGTACCAAAAAGAATATAATGTAATGATTAGTCAGAGAAGGAAGCGAGAGTTAACATACCTACTGTTAATTACACATTTGTTACACAGGTATGATTCATCGTCACACAAAAAAGGGAGAAAAAATTACTCATCACGACATCCTAAATTTTGATTGGCTGTCGCTGTTAACGGAGGACCAATAGGAGACGATTCATGTGACATTGAGGATGACTCTGCTGTGTTCGGATATGGTATATTGTCCAAAATTATATTATTTTTGTTACCACTCTGACGCTAAAATAACAAAATTATAACTTTAGTTAAAGTCTATTAATATATCTGATACCTTGACGCCTATAAGTTTGAATGTGCCACCATTATTGTTGTAAATACAGTCCAAGTCAAAGTCTCGTCAACGTATCTGGACATGCAAAACATATGATTTCATCGCAGTAAACAAAGTGTTCGTTCGAGAGAAAGAGAAGACTTCTGTAACGCAATTTCCCGACTCCCATAGGCTTCTAAATAAATTCTGGTAAGGCTGCGTAAAGATTTACAATCTAGATCTTTGACTTTTCAGCTTGATTCTTCAGGGAAGAGAGAGAGAAGACAATGAAATAGGGAAAACGGCCTCCCTCTACGCGTTATACATTTCGTCTTCGATGTAGGTGTGTTCATGCATGGAAATATAAACAGTCAAGTCAAGGACTCTGAGGCATAATGCGAGTCAAGTTTTGTACATCCATTTTTAAACGGAAAATTATATATGCAGACGAATGAACGATTGATTCTAAGGAACTTATCGTATATATATCCGTCGGAACTCCATACTGAATAACTTTTTAGTTATATTTCATTATATATGTATATGTAGTTACTACTGTATATATAAAGTATTATATGTTGGGAGAATTTTTAGTGTATGATAATAAGTATTTCGGTATAAGTTACCAAGATTGATGTACAGATATAGAGGGGATTCGACACTGCCACCTTGTAGAGCACAATAAATAAGTCATAAATAGTACTGCTACAGCTGCAGTCACCTCATATTTACCTCAAAATGAGGAAGTTAATTGCTGGATATCACTGCTTATCTTGTTTACATTATGAGGAAAAATACTATACTCTGCATAACTCATCAGTGTGATATATGCATTCATACCATAAAGATTAACCTGAATTTATTAACTAATTGTGTAAAAGATATACAGGAAAATATTCTGTAATATTTTAGTTTCACACAGCACCCTCCCTTGCAAGTTTTGTTCCTTGTTTCAATTAATTATATTGTAGTATGCATGATCTCTTGTTATTCTCCATCACAAATGATATTTAGGAAAGTAATGGTATTGTTTATGAAGTGATCACACACCCCAGAGACTGTCCCTATTATTCCAGCTGCCCATTGGAAAATCCACCAATATCTCTGTATAAACCAAAATCCTTCCTAACCCAAGGGCTTCTCCACACCTCCATCTGATTGCATTGAACTCTTTCTCATTGACATTAGTTGCAACCCATTTTCTTTATTTCTGACATTATATTTTGCCTACATAGATTGTTTTATTTCTCAGCGAGTTTAATTTCCCCCTTTGTTTATGATATTGTCATTACTCAGGCAAAAGAAAACAAACTTCCATCAATATGTATCTTCTGGCAAGTAAGAGCTTATAGACTTCTTTGGCAGTTTGATTTCAAATATGAAACTAGTACAAGCAATATCTTTTGCATGACTATATGCAAGGAGGCCTTTGTTGGCATTTGCTTGAGTAAAAAGCACAGCATTACTTCATACAGTTCTGTTCTAAACAATTTTTTTTTTCTAGCAATAATTTAAAGATGTATCATATACACATTAAAAAAGAATGTGATTGTTGAATTATTGCTTAAACACAGTGACTTGTATAGTATATAGTTGTTTTTTGTATCTAATTGCTCAACTTTTAATCATTTAGGGGTCATAGAAATCTTACACTTTACTAGGAACAGGGTAAGGATCACACTGCAGCTGCAAGTTCTGTGATTAGTCAGTTGTCAACAACCATGAATGTTATTACATTATTATGCCATAGATGGCAGTCCTCAATTACTTAATATTAGCCGTAAATACTCAGGTAATTATACAAATTGTGATACAGTTATCACCAGGCACCACCTACATTGTACTAAGCTATAGTAGATAATTTCAAGACAACGATAATGAGTTTCAGAATTAGATTTTTTCATAATAATAGTACTTTGATCCACTTGAAACTTGCTATGTTAGTGATGTGCTGTCAAGTGGTCATTGCAGCCTCTCTTTGGCCTCTGGCTTCTGCTTTTCATTTTCCAGCAGGGCCAACAAATCTCCACTATTTATATTCTGGCAAGACATAGCTTGGCCTGGTTCCTATTTTATTTAATAACTTATTGCCAGGGAGATTTGCTTGGTCAATATTGCCAGAATATGCATGGTGGAGGTCTGTTTGTCTTTGCCAGAGGGTATGCCTTGGAAGAGCATGCTAATTTTGTATTAAAGTGGTTTTCAGTTTCTTTTTTAACATAAAGTAAGTTTTTTTTCTGACTTCTTTCCTCATATGCTAGATTCTTATACCTTGCATTATATTGTTTTTTCCTCTCTTAGACCTTGCACGTCAAAATGGGCATGAAGTAGCATTTAAAAGGTTTGGAGTTATCATATATTCAGATTCTTTTCTTGACAAGCTTCATTTTGATACCAAAATCATCTTCATATCTTATGTTATTGCGAAGATATGGTCATTTGAAGATCGGAAAATATCTTAATAGAAAGTTAAGCACTGATTTGAAATTTTAACTTGGGGGTATTTTTTAACCAAATTTTAATCCAATTAACTTTGATTAAAAAAATGAAAAATCAGAAGAAAC